TAAAAATAAAATTTAAATATTTAAAAAATATAAAATAAGCTAAAATAACAAAATTTGCAATTTACAAAAAAGAGTTTTCCGCGGGATGTGAATGAGTATCCCGCAGTCGGTAGCGCCCGACTGCAACGTTCTTACTTGTTTTATTATGATTTTTTTACATTTTAAAAATATTTCTCTAGTGCAAAAAAATATCTCTTTTGATTTATGGCAAACCTGTTTAGTCTTTGAAGTCAAATAAAAATTGAGCTATTGCTGGATGTTCAATCAAAATGATTTATAGTATTTTGTCTATAGATATATAGTTAGTAATTTCTAAGCAAATGCGCACGGCTGTCACTTTGCTGTCTGAAGTTTTTGCTCCAAGTAAACTGAGTAAATAAATATTTAGGAAAAAGCGGAATATTTATGAAAAACGGATTTGTTACAGAATTTAGCGTAAAAGAATCTGCTAAATAAGAAACAACAAAAAATATACATTCAGAAAGCAATTCATCATAAAAATATATACATCATAAATGCTTCATTTAGACTAATATATGCTAAGCCGGCACGAAAAAATACTTGAAGATTTATCTAGCTGATATGATACGCTATGGACAATATTTTATATGAGTATATTGAGGTATATATATAATTATTTATACATATAGAGTTCTGTTCTGTGTAGGCGTAGGATTTCTTCTTTGGTGTTTGGATCTGCCCAATCAATGCAGTCAGTCCTAATTTGTATCCAATAAGTCTATTTATATATGTAGATAATACGAGCAAGTCTCTTGCCATGGATGTCTTTTATTATAAATTTTATAAATTTGGATGAATTAGAATATTGTGCCTTATGTGAACAACATAATTTTACAGTATATTTTAATGGAATTTCAAGTTTTTATGAATACTTAATTATAAATTATAAAATTTGTAAAAATTTGTACTCTTTGGCATACAAAAACTGATCTGAAACTATGATAAGAAAACAGTAAATACTTTTTTTTATGAATGAATACCACATTAGTTTTGTCTTTGGCTTTTCCTGCTCTTAAACAACAAAGAACGCTTTTTTATCTTGATGAGCAACTACATATGTATATAGTAAATCCAATTTCTGCTACTCTCCAATCTTCTATGCTCTAGGCTCCATCTTCCCTACCTTCACGCTAAACCCTTGTTCATTATATAATTATCTCTCCTGCCCTTCGGTTAGTTCGGGTTAGTAGTTTCTGTTGCGCTACGAACCTCACACTCGCCCTCGGTTTCCGTTTCGTTGGATGAGCTGATGGGCTCCGTGGTGATGTTGCTGCTCAGCTCATCGTCGGGCCGATTGATAAGCTTGCTGGCATCGGTGTCCAGATCGATGAGAACGCGCTCAGCGAGAGCAGCTGCCTCCTCCAGTTCGAGCTCCATTAGATCCGACACACTGCTCGAGCTCGACGAGCTGAGATAAACCAATTCGGCATCCTCGGACTGGGGCGACAGCGTGCTCTGCAGCCGGGTGCAGCTCTCCAGATTGTCGCTCTGCTCGATCAGTTTCGTCTCCAGCATGAGAGCGATCGGCTCCTCGCGCCGCTTGTGCCGACGACTAAAGTCGAGATGGCTGCGCGGAAATGTTTCGTTGACCTTGAGGGGCCCGGCTGGACGCGACTTGGACTGATCCGTGGCGGAGCCACTGCGACTTAGCTCATTGGGCGCTGCCGCCGTTTCGCTGTTCTCCTCCTGAATGCTGTCCAAATAGCGCGGACTGAGCAGCTGCGGCAGAAAGTGCATTTCGACTGCGTTTCGCTTGGCGCGCTTCTGCCGCAGCTGCTCCTGTGGGTCGGCGCGACTGCTGGACGGCAGGTCGGGAGGGAACTGAGCCGAGTGAGCTGTGCTGGTGGTGGGCGTGGTGATGGGCGCGACTGTGGCCTCCGTCTCGGAGTCGGCCTCAAAGACCAGCGGCGATTGCAGCGGCCCATTGAACTCCCCAGAACTGCAGTCGCTGCTCTGCTCCAGCTCCTGAATCTGCAAGTCGCGCGAGAATTTACTGAACTGTTGCACGGCCTTTGGCGAGGGCGATTCGACGAGGTAACGCGGCGGCGGCGACAATGTGCCACTGTTGTTGCTGGTGCTGTTGCTGTTGCTGTTGCTGTGTGCGGGTGTTGCTGTGGTGCTGCTGATCTCCTCAATTGTTGGCTTACCTCTGCGAGCGCGTTCCTTCTCGTCCGTCTCGATGCGTATCTGATGTATGATCACCTTGGTGCTGCGTTGCAGCGGCTGATTTGCTGCATGTTGCTGCGGTGCCGGCGACTGTTGCTGTTGTGCATTTGACGGTTGTTGTTGCTTTGCCAGTGGCTGTTGCAGCTGACAATTGGCCAAGATCTCTTGCACAGCTGCTGGCAACTCTTGCTCTGCTTGACTTGGCTGCTGTTGTTGTTGCTGTTGCTGCGGCAACTGTTGCTGCTGTGCATTTGCATCATCGTCGCCTTCGCGCACTATGCGATGCACTATGACCTTGGCCTGTCGTGGACTACCTGGTGCTTTGATAGCCTCCTGCTGTTGCTGTTGCTGCTGTTCAGGTTGCTGTTGCTGCTGCTGCTGCTGCTGCTGTTGCTGCTGCTGCTGCTGCTGCTGCTGTTGCTGCCGTTGCTGCTTGGAATTTTTGGCGCCCATTGCTGCTCTATCAACAACTGATTGCTGTTCTGTTGCTGTCGCTTCCTGCTCAATTCGTACCGGCACTATGTGCACCACTGGCTGTTGTTTCAGTTGATCCTCAGTCTTAACAAACAAATGTTGCTTAGATTGATTATCTGGCTGATCTTTTGATTGATCTATAGAATGATTTTCCAGCTGCTGCTTTGACTGATTTGCTGGCTGATCGACAATTTCCTCTTTTTTCAGATCTTCTATTGAAACTTGCCCGATTAGCTGTTCCTTTTGCTTATCTATGACTTGTGTTACTGACTGGTCGACGAACTGCTTTGCTTTTGCTATATCCGACGGATCTGCAGTCGAAGCTTGGAACTCCTTTTTTATCAAAACTTTGACTTCAAGCGGCTGCTCTCTGTCTGCAAGCTGATTGTCAGCCTTCTCTTCTGTCTTATCTTTTGGTGATTCTTCAATCTGATCTTTTACTACAGCCAACTGATCCTCAAGTTTCACTTGAATCAGGTGCTCTTTGGACGGGTTCTGCAATTGATCTGCGACAAGCTTTTCCTCTTTTTCTTTAGTCAGCTGCTCTTTGGCCGTTTCTTTTGACTGATCTTCAAGTGCTTCTTCCTTCACTACAACCAACTGTTCCTTGGACTGATCTGTACACTGATCCTCTCTTAGCTGAGCTTTCACTGCAGTCAGCTGCTCTTTGGGCTGTTTATTCGCTGGATCTTCAGACTGATCGTCAAGTTCTTCCTCTTTCAGCTTAATCGAGTCTTCTTTGACCTGATCTCCAGGCTTTTCTACTGTCTGCTCTTTAGGTGAGTCTACCTCTTTCTCTTTTACTGCAATCAGCTGCTCCTTAGGCTTCTCTGCTGTCAGATCTTTTTGTGGATCTTCCAGCTGATCTTTGACTTCACTCCGATTTTCTGGCTGATCCTCTTTTAGCTCTCGCTGGCTGATCTCATTGCTGGCTATGCCAGTTGCCTCATCGCCAGCTGTGGCGCTGTCGCTCGCCGTTGGTGACCCATTTGAAATGCTGCCAGAATTTGCATTATGATCATTCTGAAGATCGTCAGCTGCTGCTAATGATGATGTTGATGAAGTTGTTGCTGCCGCTGCCGCTGCTGCTGCTGCTGCTACCTTCTCCTGCTGCTGCTCTTCTTTTTCGTTTTCCTCTGCTGCCGCTTGCTGTTTATTTTGATTTTGATTTTGATTTTTATTTCGTTTATTGCGATTACGATTGCGATTACGATTACGATTATTTGGCATCGTCTACGTCGCGTCTAAGCCACACTCGAAAGTCTTTCTTCTTGATATATATATAGGCACTATATATGTATGTGAGCTGTTTGTATGTGTATGTGGGTTTCACTATATATATGTGTGTGTGTGTGTTTAATTTGTTGTGCCTGCCTGTGTGTTGCAGTGTGTGTGTGTGTGTGTTTATTACGCATACGCCGCGTTTGCCGCCTTCAATCAGCTAAATCTAAAAATTGCTGCTTATTCGTGTGAAAATTGCTTTTGTTTTTTTTTTTTTGTTGTTTTTGCTCGTTTCTTGTCGTTTTCTGTCGTCTTTTGTCGCCGTCGTCGTAGGGATTATTCTCGCATTTCTCTGTGTCACTCGTCGCTGGCAGAAACTGAACTAAAACTAAAAAACTCAACCAAACGGCGCCATCGGCCGATCAAGCACCAGCACAGCCGACGGCGAGCCGGCATTTCAAGCAGCGTCAACGCCAGCTGCGACGTCAGCGGCGACCGCGACTGCGACGCACGACAGCCCGGCAAAAGTTTGACACGCGTCCGGCGCTGCACAAATTTTGATATACAAACACATATATCATATACATATATCTGTTTCTATATCTATCTCTAAATATACATATATGTATCACGTAATTGTTGACCGCATAGAAAAAAAAAGGAAAAACTTTTGATTTTTACGTTTTAGTTATCAACTTTCGCTCTCGACGCGCCCGAGATTTTCATTTTCCCTCTGGTTCGTTTTTCGTGAGACTTTTCCCCTAACAAGATAGATTTTCTTTCGAGCGCGCGTTTCTTCTGCTGACGGCGACTGGCAGCCAAGGAATGGGCCATGGGCTGCCTGCTCCCAGCTGCCAAGCGGGCCACACAAATCTGTGGCGCAACGGGGCACGTAAATGGGGAAAAATTAAGAAAACACATCGGGAAAAAAGAGGAAAAAGAGGAAAAAAGCAAGAGCAAAAAGAAGAAAAACTAAAACGAACAACAACAAGCACAACAACGGCAAATACAATATGGGGCATTCATAATGAGGCTCGTCTGATGATCGTTTTAAAAATACATGAGGCGCTGAGGTCTGTTCGAATCGTTGGAGAGCATTCGCAGCATTCGACTCTCGAGTAGTGGGAGTACTGTGCGTGTGGGGTGGCTGGGGCGTGTCAGCTGAAGGAGTCATGTGTCGAGTGCTAAGCAAATAGGCAGCAAGTGCTGTGGGCGCTGTGTAGTCATGAGTGGCAACTCGACAAACACCAAACATAAGCAAAACAGCACAAAATCAAGTCCAAGTCACGTCAAGTTCTCAGGACTTGAGGCGCACGCGAAAACTCAAACAACAAATGTTGCATAAATTTCAACAAAAAAGAAAGAAAAAAATATGAAAATACATATATATAGATATATGTATATATATATATATAGATCCACACAGTTTGCCTGCGGTTATAAACAAAATCGAAACTGAGTTGTTTAGAAAATGCTTTTGCGCCTTCGTTTTTCGTGCTGCAAAATAATGTCATATTTAATTATATTTTTGGCTACGCTGAAATCTCTGCAATTTTCATGTTTTCATTTTCGCTCTGAATGCCACAAAAATAAAAGAACTCAACTTTGAGATGTTTGAACTTTGCAAATAAACAGAACACGCAAGAGTTTCAAAGGCAGGCAAATATTTTGATGGCAAATTTTATAACAGCTCAAAATATTATTGCTGCAAATGGTAAATATCGAAGGGTAGGAATTTCACAAAATATATATGTTGTATATATATAATAAAAGAATATCAAATAAATCGTAAACAAAATGAAAGCATAAATATATAGAAAATATTTAATATTTTTTATTAATATTAATAATTATTATCAATATTAAATATCGAAATTTATTATTTATACTCATATTTTTTTTTTTTTTGCTCAAATTGAATGAGTTTTAGATCAAAATAAAATTTCTAAATTATAAAATGAAATAAAGCAATTAATATAATTTTAAAACAGTTTAATTTCCATTCTATATAAATTATCATGAACAAATACTTTGCATGCTCACACAAACATATTCATTTAAAACGTAAATTTTTTTGCCTTTTCTTTCAATGGGTTTAGCTTTTATAAATTATGAGCCAAATTTATCTCAATATTTTCAAATTTTCTTCAAATTTATCAAAGTTTTTTTTATTTATTTGTTTTTATACCCTGAACCCATTGAAAATGGGAAATCAGGGTATA